TATAGACACTGAAAATTTGTCTAAAACTTTTGCAGCAACCCCACCGACCCCCCCGCCAAAAATTAGTAAATATTTGAAGGCTTATTAGAGGCATCCCATCGTCTGGGGCAGTCGCTGGAGTCTGGGGCAAATCAGCTCTGCTCGAAGCAGCAAAATTGTTGTCTTGGGTCAGGGCCAGAAAACCAAAAATTATTTTAAAATATTTGTGTGAAAAATTATACAATATTCTCGAGAGCAGCTTCCGCTTCGCATTGGAGAAAAGTCAACTCAAGTCAGTGGCCAATAAATTTGCATAAATTAAATTGATTTGTTGTTTGCCTCACCAAGAGGGGAACGGGGGGCACACTTTGAATATTGTTTAAGGAACAAATAAACAAAAATTCATAGTCAAACAATGCAAACACACACAGAACAGTGCAGAGAGAGGGGGAATAAAACCGGACAAAGCACACACATAATATGCCAAAAATGTTTTCCCTCTCACAAAAGCCAAAAGCAAATTATTTAAATCAACATTCGCTGTGTGGCTTGCAACCCGAATAAAATGTGCAAATACATACGAATATGTATGTACTACATATGTATTTATTTATGTACAAATACAATGTGGAGCGGACTGGAGGATTTTATGTGTGTGGGCATCCATCATGGCATTCATCTCGAAGCTGAAGCTGAAACTGAAGCTGCAACAACTTTTGGTCGCATATGTAAATTTCTGATTTGTGCCGAAAAATGCATAAATAACTGTTAATATTTAATATTGTTAACTTGTAAATTTTAAATGAAATATACGAGAGGACAGAGAGTCAGAGCCAGAGCCGGAGCCAAAGCCACAGAAGAGCGATGGCTTTGGATATGATTGTCGCCTGTTCCGTTCCGTTCCGTTCCTTCCCGAGGAAAGCCATTCTGCAAATGAATTATGCAGTTTTTAACAAAAATCCCACAGCAGCAGCAGCAGCAGCAGGATTTACATGGCTGACTGCCCCTTGGTCAGAGGACATGTTGACCCTTTTGTGTGTGTGCAGGAGGCAAAAGTTAAATTGTTTTTTGTTTCTATTTTATTATGCTCGTCATAAATTTTGAATGTTGCATGGCTTGCATATGATTTCGCTGCTTCTCTGCTGCTCTTATTTTGATGAACTTGTTAAATTTAGCAACGACATTTGTCAGCAGCAGCGGCAGGAGCAGGAAGGATCAGCCTAGGGATCAGCATAATCGGAATAGAAACAAATGTTTCTGCTGCTGCTGCTGCTGCTGCTGCTGCTGCTGATGATGTTTCCCGACTTCATTTCATATGCAAATCTGTTGCAATTTTTGTGCAAAAATATCCCCAACCCAAGCTACGTTTGATGTGCCAGTAATTAAAAATGTTTTACAGAGCAAATGCGAGAGAGAGTCCCCCCATACCCAGTCCTAAGTCCTTAAGTGCATTTCAATTAAAATGTGTTACTGCCGCTGCCAGCGATGCTGCTGTTGCACATCTGCCACTGCATAAATCATTCTTTCACATCGCAGAACACACAAAAAAAAAGTAAAACGGGAAAAACCATATACAAATAGCGGAATGAAAGCGAGAAAAGCCGTTCAATTTAAAACGTGTTGCACCAGCAGGAGCACAAAACTAACCGAAAAGCCGCTGACAAAGCAAAACAAAAAATCAGCGCAGAAAGAAAAAAACAAAAAAATTGTTTTTGGCCAGAGGACCGACTGGGGTTCGGGGTGGACTCTGTATTTATTTCTATTTGGCTGTGAGCCGGGGGCAGCCTCGTTGTTCCTTTGCTAGAATTTAAAACTTATAAGCACGCCATGGCCTCCACCTGCACCTGCACCACCAATCTGTATGCAATTCCCAACCACCAAAACACCACGCTCAATGCTCAATGCTGAGACGCACGCATGCCCCATGCCCCATGCCCCATGCCCCATGCCACAACGCAGCAACTCCTGCTGCCTCCTGCCTCCTCCGCTCTGCTTTCGGGCTCGGGCCAAAAGCCATAAAGTTTTTATTTATTTGCATTTGCTCACGTGTGCATGTTTAATTAAATTTGAAGCGCCTGAGAAGCCGCCATCGAGGCTCGGCTGGGAATTATTTTCTGGTCATTTTTTGGTGTACATGCGAGCACCTAAGCGACCACCCAAGCCACCCACCACCGAAAAAGTTATGTCTAACAGCAAATGGAAGAGGCTCTCTCTCTGCAGGTGCTGGCTGCTGCTGCTGCCCTGCTGCTCCTGGTTGCTGCTGGTTCCACCATTCCTGGCATATGGATGCAGTTTTCGTAACGAAAATTGAGTTGGACATGACCAAATTGCGGTTAGGCAGGCAGGTGCGGGCACAGCAGCACAATTTCTAGTTTCTGTTTTTCTATTTTCTGTTTTTTGATTCATTCTGCTTTTCCTGTGGCCTGGTTCCCTTCTGCCTTCTACCTGCTGCATTGGGGCTGGGGCGTTGTATGCAAATTGGAGCGTGACTTGTATTTCGACAGGCCACCTTTGATGCGCGATAGATCTCTCTCTCTCTCTCTCTCTCTCTGGATTCCCTGTGGTTTCCCTTTGGCAACTCCTTCTATTTTACCCCCCAAAGATCCATCTTTGATATGCGCTTGATCCTGGCCTCCTTTCTGGGTTTTAAGCTTAAAATCTGCCAGAGATCTCTGCTTGGTTGAGAGCTTTGGCTTTAGCTTTAGCTTCAGTTTCAGTTTCAGCTGTTTGTGTTGACAAATGACAAACAGACGACAGACGACAGTGACGAGACATAGAAACAGCACAAAGAGAGTCGCACAAGAGGCAGCTAAAATGCGTTAATTAAATTGTCTCTAACTCCCTGAATGGCTTAGACACAAGGCCCACCCCCCTAGGGTGTAACTGTGACAGCAACTCTGCTGACATCTTGTTTTTAGCTGTGGAGCTCATAAAATTTGCAACATTTGTTGCTGCGAGAGCGAGCTGAGGAATGGAGAGATTTTTGTGTGTAGAATTTATGCGCCTCATTAGTTGCCACAGCGAGAGATGGCAGCACACACACACACACATCATCATCATTAGTCAGCAGAGTTGTGTGCGCCTAAAAATATTCCAAAGCATTTGGCATTCGCACAAAGGCCACCGCGGCTACAGTCCCTTTTGCCTGTTCGCTCCAGTCAAATTAAATGCTTTCGCCGATGTTTGACATATTTCAACACTTTAACAAACGACAAAGCACACACACACAGGTGCTCCTGCTGCCTTCTACTATAAACAGAGGCAAAGATTTTTCATATTTGAAGCCGCATATATCATTCAGAGTGGGGCAGGCAACAGGAGGCTGCCGCTGCCGCTGCTGCAACCGTTTGCTTGTTGAAAGGGTTGAAGTGCGCTCCTGCCCCAAATGGGGTTCTGCCAAGAAAAGTAAAAGTGCGCCAAGATGTGCCATAGAGAGAGAGAGAGCGAGAGAGATAGAGAGACTATGCTTCTGCTGGCTTTCGCATTGATTTTGTTTTTTCCTCTCATTTTTTTGTATCCCGGCCCGGCTTTTCCGTCGACTATTTGTTGGGCCTCTCCCACCACCATTCATTTCATTTCACATCTCCTGGTCCTGCGCTTTTTATTTTATTTTTATTATGACTGTGCGTGTGTGTGGGTGTCTCTGGCTGCCTGGCTGTCTGCGTCTGTGTGGGCGCCTGCTTTTGGCCCTGTTTCTTGGGGGCGGGCCTGCTCTGCGTTTGCCTACTTTTTATGTGTTTTTATTTATTTGCGCCGCTTTGCAATTTCAAAAAGTGTTCGCCAGAGCCCTCCCCCCTTTGCCCACAAGAGCAAAGGCTTAGCTGAGCATCCTCCACAGCAGCAGCAGGAGTCGTCTCCGGGTTGAATGCCTCCTCCTGCCTTGGACTATTTTCTTTCGTGCCGTGAGAGAAATGTTGAGGGCTTGCGTGCTCGTCCGCCTTATATTGCAAAAGCGAGCATAATAAATATTTGACGCTTCATAAATCTTTAAAGAGTTGCCAAAAGCAAAGGAGGGGCTCATCTCAGAGTCCTGCGCTGCTGTTGCTGGCCGGCTGGTCCTTGGCCCCGAAACCCCGAGTCCCGAGTCTCGGGTGCTTAATGGATTTGCTACTTTTCGCCGGCTTCACGTTTATGCTAATGATTTGGCTTGGCTCTTGCTCTTGCTCTTGCTTGCAGCAATTGGAAGCTGATGCTCTGCAAATTCGACAACAAACAGAGCGACAGAGAGAGGGAGAGAGTGCGAGCGAGAGAGCTGTTAGGTTGAGAAAAGGATGGGAATGCCACTTGGGAAACCCTTGCAAATTGCACGGGCCCAGCAGCAACAGCAGGCAGCAGCTGGAAGGTTTCTTGTGGCCTATGAAAATCTTTGCCACAATTTTCACTTGCACTTGCTCGGGCAGGGAGTGGGAGTGGGGTGTGCCGCCATTTTTGATTTCCCCAATGTATTTGTATTAACATTTTTAGCAGCAGCAACTCCTGCCACAGACTTCATGGTGCAAAGACCACAGACAACGGTCAATCGATTGATGGCGTGTGCCCCTGCCCGTGCGCACATTATGCGGGTAACTCCTGAGGCACACTCCACACACACAGACACTCCAGACACAAATGAACTATTGTTGCTCTAACGGGTAACAGATAGAGAGGTGGGTAGCCATTCCTCTGGGGGCATTTGTTGTATTTTCTTGCTTCATTTTCGGGGCATATTATGTAATTAAGGATCCATGCAAATTCTCAAAGCCTCAGATACGGCAACAGCATCCAGCATCCAGCAGCCAGCAGCCAGTCGCATGCGGGGTTCTCCCCGCCCTCTGCCGAGTCGGTAGTGAGTGAAGTCCTTGGCGGTGGCGTCGACCCAGTTCATTTAAATTTGGCATAGTGCCAGGGCAGTCAGCCAGGAAGGCCCAGGTCTTTCCCCGGCAAAAGCCAGTCGTCGGTCGGGACAAGCAATGAGCATTAAAGTTATGCCTCGCACTCGCATGAGGCATGAGGGCATGCCTCTGCCTCTGCCTCTGCCTCATGCCAGTGCCACTGCCACTGCCTCGCATGCCTCGTGTCTGGGGCGTGTGTCCGTTCAGGCGCTGCTTGTAGCTTTGTTTGTTGTTAAGTGTGTTAACAGGGTTTATGCTGCACACACATATACAGCCACGACCAGAGTGAAACACAGATACACATCAGCAGCAAGCGGCAGGCTGACTCCGCCTTTGCTTTTGCCTCTCTCTCTCTCTCTCTACCTTTCTCTCTCTGTGTCTTATTAGCGTTCACTTGCCACTCAGGCAGCATATGCTTCACGTGGCGCTTTAAAGTGGCTATGGGATACATGTGTCTGTGTATGTGTGTGTGTGTAGCTTTAAGATGGCCGCACAATTGCTTGTAGCATACTTTAGTGCGCGCTTTGCCACTGCTTCTGCCTTTGCCTGACAACTTCCGACAGCCTGTCCATCCACCCAGGCAGGCATCCATCCCTTAGCCAGCAAGCCAGCCAGCCATTCCCCCGAGCCACCCCCAAAGGTGCAGCTATTATTATTTTTGTGAAATAAAAACCGCAATTACCTGAGAGTAAAATATATATGTGGCAGTTGGACGGACGGACGAAGCAAATAAACCAGAGTGTGTGTCGTCGTCCCACAGTATCCCGGCTATACGAGCATTTTCTGTGTGACATAAAGCAAACAATATGGCGACACGCAACACTAAACATGCGGCAGGGGGCGGAGGCAGAGGCAGGCGGCATTCAGCAGTCAGCAGTCAGCAGGCGGCAAAGTGGGGCACAGACTTTGCTGCTGCTGCTTTCTTAGCGTGTTGCCAGCAACAATGTTGCCACACCAGCAGCAGCAGCCAAAAGTAGCAGAAAATGTCAACGAGCCAGAAACTGCCCCGCACGAGCGCGCCTCAACATTAGTTTTATTTGCTACCCAGTAATTGTGGGGCTAACAGGGGTATATTAGAAGATAGGAATTGTAGGAGATACAAGCGAGGTGCGACTGGTGCTTAGAGGTTTCAATTTAAAGTGGGAAATTCATATCTCAAATTTATTTTTAATCCAAGAGTAAATATGAATTTTAAGAGCATTTTTTCTACTCTAGGTTTTCTTTTCATTATCATCTTAGCTCTCTCTCATTGAAGGGGTATTTCCCTGAGATACTCCTGCTGTGGAGGGTACCTTTGAGTCTTTCCTTTTTAGTGGCACACACAAGTCGCGCGCACCCTCTAACGGCAGGAGGTGCAGCAGGGAATGGTGTTAAATTAAATTATGGCAAGGCGTCAATGTGTGAGGGGAGTGCTCGAAAGCAGCTCAGGGCATGGCAGAGCACCTCCAGGAGCTGTGCCCCTGAATTAGTGAGAGGAGTGTGAGGTCTGGCAGGACTCCAGATTGAAGAAAGGACAAGGCTACCTCCAACACTGCCTGGCCTTTTTCCAGTTTCATTGTTCTCCAACTGCTTTTCCGCTACTCTTTCTCGTTAAGCACAAAAATTGAGTAACTGCACGTGAATGAAAATGAAAACAAAGCCAAGCAAGGGGGCGGGAAATAAGGGATCCGGATTGAGGGGCGTTGCACCGAGACTGGCGAACTTTCACGCTAAAAACTTTTGCATTTTCTTAACTAGTTTTTGTTATTGTTTTCCCCTACTGCGCTCAGCACAAAATGCAAGAAATGAAATTGCCCCCGCGAGCACGCTCTCGCTCTCTCTCGCTCTCTGTCGTTCTTTGTCTATGTCTCTGTCTGTCTGAGACTCTGCCCGCATGCAGCAAAAAAAAAAGACATGGGTGCAAGGAAGCATGGCAAGGGGCACGTGGCAAGGGGCACACAGCCAAACAATAATTGAAATAAACACTTAAAAACTTTGACTGCAGCACTTTCTCTTCTCTTCATTTCTCTCGTTTTCTTTTCTTTTCGGTTTTTGTTTTGTTTTGTTTTGTTTTGGGTTCCTGTTGCGGGGTCTTCCCCCTGAAATAGTTTTCCCTTTGGCTTATAAACGTGCCGCGTGCAGCAGTTAAATATTATAGAGCATGCCCCTTGTCCACTGGCAACACAAAAGCCCAGCCACCCCGTAACAAAGCGTATAACTGTGCTGCATACTTTTGTGCGCTGCGGCACAATCTAATTACGAGCATCTCTGCCACAGCAAGTGGCAGGGCAAGCAAGCGACTGTTGTATTGTGATTTAGAGACAATTACGCAAAATATAATTAAGTCATTGAAGCGTTTAAGCAAAAGTCAGCAGCAGTAGCAGCGGAGAAAGGGCCACAAGCAAGGACAAAAGTCCTGGCCAGAGTTCTGGCCACAAACGAAGTTTGTTTTGTGCGAAGCAACATGTCCTCGGGGCCATTATGCCCTTTGTTGCGTAGAGGGTAATGCGAATTTCGTCAGTGGTTTGCAACAAAGGAGCAGGCAAGAGTGGGTAATTGTTAGGGCAATTTTGTCTGTCGTTTGATTACCTAAAATCTAATAAATTCTATTTGGAACTCCATCCCTATTTCCCTCTCAACCTTCTGGCAAAGGGTGTCCAAAGCATCGACTCTAAGAGTTAGCCTTGCCGCTGGCTGTGGCAGTGGCAGTGTCAGCGAGACAAGACACAACATTTATTGTATTTTGCATTTCTCACTCATTATGGCTTCATCGAGGACTAAGCAGCAGGGCCAAACCAGGCCATACGTATCCCTAAATCTAGCCCAAAAGACTTTATCAATGTCAGACTGACAAATGGCTTCTGTTTAGCCACCACAAAAACACACATCGAGCTCGGATATCCATCCGTAGATATACGGCTTAATTATTGCATATAATTATGTGGCTGAGATTGGGATAAATGAAAAGGGGGGAAACCCACTCGTATACATCTTCCAAAAACCATAAATCGAAATGCAGTTACCATTGCCCTTGCCTTGTTAGCCCACAAAACCACTCTTCTCCATTCTTAGACCCAACAAATTGCTCTCCAATTGGTCATGGGCCATTTAGTTTCAGTCCCTTACCATTCCCTTCCCTTCCCTTTCATTCCTTTTTAGACCCTTGTTTGCTTGTCGCTTTAAGCTGTCCGAAAATAGGTTTTTCATTTATCCAAATTGTTGGCTCTAGCTATTGCCTTCGCCTTCGCCTGTGCCTGCGCCCCACCACAAAAAGCTTCACTAATTAATTTGATATTTTTTTCTCCCTGCTCTCCTTCTTTTCTTGGGCTGCTGTTAAATAGCAAAAATTAATGCCAAGGCAACACATTGCGTCCCATTTTCCGCGAAATAAGGTGGGCTGCGGCTCTATGTTGCCGCTGCGGTTACTGTGTGGCAGGGACTAGGGAGAGCGGAGGCATATCACCGATAAGAAGGCGCTCAAATGGCTCATAACATTTTGTGCCTCTTTTCGTTACCTTTCTTTTGTTCTAGGTACATTTTTTTATGGACATTCCATGGCACGAAACAAACAACAAAAACAGAGAGAAGCGGAAAAATTAATATCAATTTTCGAGCTTTGTCTATGCTAACAACCCTCGTTGTTGTCGGTTGTTGCTTCTGCTGCTGCTGCTGCTGCTGTTGACGTAGATTATAATCAAATGTATTCTGTTCCGTTCTGTGAATAATTTTTCCCTACTTTTTTTCTGGTATTTTGTATACCGGTTAAAGGTATACAAGGGTATAATGTGTCGAATAAAATGTGGTTACAATTGACCACTAAAACAAAGTTTTGACCAGAAACAGAGGTAAACTAATCAGCTCTCTGGACACCTGGCAATAATAGAGGAACCAACTATTCAGTGCACTCTTTAGTACAGGGTATTTTTGGCTTCCCCTTACATAATTTAGATTAAGATAACTTCCCTGTGAATGAGGTATTTTTCGGTCGAATTTTCAACTTCCCTTGTTGCTCATTTTTTGTGGGTATTTTTTTAATATTTTCTTTGCGTGCCTTTGGGCTCTATGAATATGTCGTGCTCTGGCTAGCTCTCTGGGTTTTTTTGCCCTGGCTTTATTATATTAATAGCAATTACTCATAATTACTCGCTCTCTCTTTTTTACGCGCCTTTTTGGCTCTCTTTTTTAGCCTGCAATTAACTTGATTACAACAACAGTGACAGCATTCTCTGTCTGTGCCGCTGCCTCTGTTGCACTGACCCATGAGAAGGGTTCTGGTTGTGTCTCTGGTCTGGCCGCGCCCAGCCAAGCTGAAGGGGTGTGGCCGTATGGCAGTGGCCGTGAAAGGTTAGCCCGAGAGCACATGCTTATAAATCACAGAAGCTCCTTAAGCTGCTGGCACAGCAGCTTACACAAACACACTCACACGCACAGACAGAGTGTTTTTCCTTTCGTTTTTCACTCAAATTCAGTTAACTGCCTGGAGGGGCTGGCTCACTTCTCTCTATCGGGGAAGCACATCTTTGGAGTGCGCTCCCCGTGCAAGTGAGGATATTATTTTTCGCTTTTCAGGGCACTCTCGCTGCCACTGATAATAGAAAATTTGGCCGCAAGACAAATTGTGCCTCAGCCCCCGCTCCCGCTCCCGCTCCCGCACACCAAGTCGAGGGTAATGTGAGAGGAGAGAGAGAGAGAGAGTGCTATGCTCCGGCTAGAGCTTCGTTCTCCCTGTGGTTCCCTCCCGGCGACAATCATCATCAGTGTCAGCAACAGGAGGCGGGTTGCTGCCTGCTTCTGGGCTGCCTTTTGATTCTGAAAAAGCCAAAGAAAACGGCACCCCATTCCCATTCCCATTCCCAATCCCTACCCTATCCAATGTTCGGCGTTGTGGGGCGTTTTTTTCTTTTCCTGTAATTGAAAAGCGCCGAATAGTCGAAAGTGAAAGGCGCAGCAGCTACAAGTGGCGGATAGATGGATTGGATAGATGAGGCCAAGGCTCTCTTACACTCGCTCACTGCTCGTTGCTGGCTGCTCTACGCTGATTGACAACATATTCAAAAGCCAAATCATCGACTAATGCTAGTGCTAACGAGAGGGAGACACACGCCTCAGAAGAGACATCCTTTCTGGTTGGCAGACAGCCATCCCGGCGGCATGTGCGAAAATTAATTAACAAAATTGCGTTTTAAAAATGAGACGCGAGAAGCATCGCGAGCGGCAATGCGGCGGCGGGGCAAGAAAACGTAAAGGAAAAAAATATAAAAAAGAAAAAGAAAAGGTTGCAATTACCGTTAATGAGTTTAATGCCAAAGGCGGGCGCCAAACGCATCTCCAGCCATCCTTTATAGACGAGCCGAGGCCAGGACATCGCGCGGCCTTCCCATACTCTCCCGTTAATGAGGCGACATCACAAAAGTTTCTCCCAGCTATTCTCAGGTCTCTTTGGGATACCCTTCCGCAGGGAAGGGTATTGGCTACCCCAAAAGATACCTAGGTGTATGTGGGGGCAAGGGCATCTTCTTAAGTTTCCTATTTTTCTAGCCTTTTTTTATATGAAAATATTTTACTTTCCTTTGCACTTGACTTCACTTTGACTATGGAGGGGGCAAAGTGGTAAAGGAGGACTACAAGTGGTAGAAAAGTGGGCCAAAAGTAGAGTAAAGAAAGGGTCAAGAAGTCACGCAACAAGTCAGCTTGAAGCTCTCGGTGGCAGGACCTTTGACGTGGCTTCAGAAATTACCCTTTTTACGTGGCACATTAATTTCGAGCTGGTTCAGTGAGCTTTGAGAGCACACAGAGCCATTCTCCCTGCTCCGGCTGTCGGAACCTTTTCCACATTTGACCAGTTCATTGAAGCGATTTTGATGTAAGGTTTTTCTATCCTGTAACTATTGCCATGGCTGCCACTGAATGTGCCACAAATGGCTCTAATGACTCTTTGACTCTTGCTATCCTTTCCCATCTGTCGGATTCTCACTTTATCTTTATCTCTCTCTCTCTGCCCCTGTTCCTCTGTTCCTCTGACAGTCTCTGTCTGTGCTTTTTTGTTTTATTTGATTCGATTGGTAATTGGAAGCCAATTAGTGGCCAAGTGTTAAATTAATTACCTAATGGCTGTCAGGTTTGCTTATTGAACTCTTAAATAAAATGCATATGCATCTAGCTCTCGCTCTCGCTCTCGCTCTCTCTGTCTTTCTCTTTCTCACTATAAAGATAGATAGATAGATGTGTGTTTTTGTGTGTGTGTTGACTTAATTATATTTGCTGATAGAGAGGAAGGAAAAATTGAAATTGCCGGTAATCAGAGCCCCGGAGTAGGTTCGCAGAGTCAAGTGCTGGACAAATAGTGCAGGTTCAGGACCAAGTCCGAGGTCTCTGACAATGGCAAAGCAAATACTAGACAGCCAGCCAGACATGTAAGGACTGCATGGACTGCTCTGTGTGTGGTCAAGGAGAGAACTGTTCAAATCCAGTTATAAAAACGGCAGACTCCCATTTGCAGGCAAAAGGATCATCTTAGGAGGTGCAGGGAGCCGCATCCACAGCGTCCACTCCTCCGTTTCGTGTGTGTAAGAAATGTAAACTTAAATATTTTATGGCAGTCAAGCAGTCAGGCAGCAGTCAGCCAGGTAAGTGCCGGTCGCACTGAAATAAAATTGCATACTTTATGGCGCAGGATGCGGCAAACACTACTACGGGACACACAAGAGGCAGTCGAGGCGGAAGGTGGGATAGCCAAGAAAGAGTCCTCGCTCCTGCTGTCTGGGGCTTTCGGCTGTCGTTGAAATTCGATGAAATTTATTTACAGTTAAAAAATACAACAAAAAAAAACGACCGTAGACAAGTGGCAAAGGAAAAGGATACCCAGACACGACTCCGCCATCGACTAGTACGTGTGCGTGCCTCTCTCCTCTGTGTATGTGTGTGTGTGTGTGTGTGTGTGGCAAGAAGGTTTATTTAAAATTCAATTATGGCACACAATTGTTGCCCGACTGCCGCCCGCCGCAAAATGCCAAATGAAGTGAGATTTTTTATGAACCGAACCGAACCGAACCCACTGGCAAACAAAAAAAAGGTCCTACGAGATACGTTCTTCTCTTGACAAATTGAATTGGATTTTAGTTGTTGTGCCATAAAACGCTTACCAAATAGTTCAGCTTATATATATACTGTTCATCGATCCTTACCTGCAAATAGAACAGAAATTGGAGAAATCGGTTAGTTATTTGATTGAGTTTTCACTGCCACGGCAGTCGTGGTGGGGTGGGGTGTAGGGGGTGGACTTAGGCTTAGATCTCTAGACATTTGGACATAGACAATGGAATTACAAGTACAACAATCTCTGGGGGATTATCTAGAGAGGCACACAATATCAAATCTCATACGACAATTACTAGTTAGAGAGTGAGACAGAGACATAGAGTGGGATCCAAACAAAATAAAAATAAATTATGCAAAGGAGACAACGACAGAGAGAGAGAATCAAAAGTCTAGACAAAATACAACGACAACAACAGAAAATCATTTAATGAGCAATATAATTATTCTATGATATAGATTTCCCTTTTAAATCTTTTAATGATGCATTTATTTGGGGGCAGGAAATTGCCCACCTTCACCCTCGTGGCATATCGGTTTTCAAGGTCTGGAACTCCACTTTCCAATCTAATTATAATTTATGTCGCCGCCACACAGCGGACTAGATTTCACGGGACTCCCATTTGCTGACTACGCGTCGTGATACTTATAATTTTAATAATAATTCCCCAGTGCCCCAGTATCGACAGCATCCATCCACCCCCCAGTAGCTATGGGAAGGACAAGGCGCAGCAACAGGAGCCATTGCCTTCATCATTATTGTCTGTCATTGTGACACCCGAAATCTTGTTAAAGAAATCTCAATTATCAACTTTTATTGATTTGCATGGCAAGCGGAAAAGCAGAGAAAAGCAAAGCAAAAAAAAAATGGTAAACAAGCCTCAGCCTCAGCAGCTCTCAGTGCTATTTACGCTCCATTTTCTCCACAGCTTTTCACTTTTCCTTCGTTCCAGCGACAGAGATAGAGAAAAATTGCACGAAAACAATTACGATAAAAATGTGAACTCTGTGGGGGTCGGGACCTGGTCTCCGTTTTCGTTTTCGTGGTTCGGTTTGGTTCTGTATGTAGGTGGGCGCGGAGGGTGCCTTGGTTAGGTAACCTGCCAAGCGACAAGCTTTGAGCACGGATAAAAGCAAATTATGATAACAATAAAGATTTAACTAGAGAGCCGAGTCTGTGGCATGGGCCATGGAGGGGGGAGCGGGGCGGGGCGGTACGGATGGATAGACCGTCAAGTGGCAGTGGAGAGCATTGCCATTGACATTCTCCCACCCGGCCCCGCATCGGGATCGACGATACAAAGGGCACGGCCATGGGACAATTTAAATAGACATTTATCTTGTGAAACGACACAGCGCAGGTTGTGGCCCACACACATACCCATGGAAAGCACACGCATAGACATGTACATATACACGTGCCGTTGGTGCCTATAACAAAATTACAGCAGACCTGCGGCCTGATCCATGACGATGATGACGATGACGCTGACGCTGACGACCCAGAACCCGACCCTAGCAGCATTTCGCTGACATTGATGATGTGTACCATGGGAGCAAAAGAAAGATACAGATAGAGCTAGAGAGAGACAGCAATGGAGGTTTTTTCTTGCTTCATCTTTCTGTGTGTTTTTTTTTCTATGCTGTTGCTTTTTTTGTTTGATTTTATTTATGCAATAACAACAACCGCAAGATTTCCACGATGCCTTTCCTTCGCTTTTTCTTTGCCTATTTTTTACTTTTTGTTTTCCTTTCCTCTTCGCTTTTCTTCCTCCTTCCTCCTTCATTATTTTCTTTATAATTTTTGGCTTGGCAAATGTTTTTCAAAGCATAAAAATACTTTTACATTAACTTGTTCTAACAACACTCACACATACGCGCGTTACGAACGTACACACTCTGCCACAAAAAGTTGCACAACATTTTCGGGTTTTGCTTTTAATGCTCAACGACTTTGTGTTGCCTACTTTTTGGGGCACAGAGCGGGGGCCAAAGAAAAACAACAAGTTATGGAAAAGTGTTTCTATGCGTGAGTGGGTGTTCCCCAGCATTTCCTTTTGGGGTTTCAAATAAAGAAAGAAAGAAAGTTCCTTGCACTCTAGGCAGCGATCCTTGGCTATATCAACATCATTTGCGTTAAGTGGCGTTCGACAAAGCAATGCGCCGAAATAAAATGAGAAGAAAGTTGGAACATTTACGATTTGCTTAATGCGTTTGCCTACATATCTATCACACCCCGCACACTCGCCTCCCCCCTGTCTGAGAGCAGCACTCCTTCTGCCACCCAACCAGCCAGCACCAGCTGCCTATTAAACTGCAATAAAGGCCATGTCTGGCTGGTTGCCAAGGAGCCAAGTGGCAGCAACAGTTAACCAGTTTTCCCACCACAACCGATTCGGGGAGGAGAGCACGGGGAGGGTTTTGGGTCCACCGATTTTGGTATGCCTAATTGGCTGCCTGTTATGTTTCTGTCTGCCCTGCGGCACGACCAACGAAAAAAAAAAACCAGAAGATCGAACACACAAAAAAAGTTGCATACTAACAGGCGGGACCCCTTAATAACATTTTGCTGATAAATCTATATATGTGCCAGTCTGTGTGTGTGTGTGTGTGTGTGTGCGTGTGTGTGTGTGTGTGTGTGTGTGTGTGTGTGTGTGTGTGTGTGTGTGTGTGTGTGTGTGTGTGTGCTCGCTCCTTACGTGCCTGCCTTCTATTCTTACTTTCCTTTTGTCTAGGACTTGTCGTGCTCCTGCTGCTGCTCCTGCTAGTCCTTGCCCTTAGATTTTGGCCATATCGATAGCAAAGCGTACGTATTGCATATTTGCTTTTGGGGTTTTACATTTTTATGGCTGCTGGGGACAAAATTTATGATTTCCCTTTCTCTTTCCTTTTGTACAGAAAAGGATTTCGAGCAGCTCGCTCCGTTACCTGGGACCTGCGTCCTGCGATCTGGGAGTGTTGTGGGTGTGTGCGCTTTAAGCGCTTTAAAATTTACATGCAAATCAAAGGCAGAAGGCAGCAGCAGCAGCAGCAGTTTATAGCAATTAAAATAAATTAACAAAAGCATTTTAGGAAATCTCTCCAGCGCGAGTATCAAAGTTCAAAAAGCCTCTGTGCCTGGCCTAAAATAAAGTTAACTAAATATCCTTCCACGGATGGATGGTTGAATGGATAGATGGGTGGATGTCGTGTCCTGGCTGCTGCCGCTAATGTTTTGCTGTTGATGAGTCGCCTAATGAACTTGTGCTTCCCATAGAGAGAGAGAGAGAGAGAGAGAGAGAGCACAAAGCAAATACGAACACTGACAAAGTAGGAGAATTGATTTGCATAGCAACCACTCGCACCCGCTCTCCCCTGCTCTCATCCATTCCGACTTCGAAATCGCAAGACATGGGCGTCAAGCTGCCTCGCTAAGCAGTTTAACTATTTAAGGCACACAAAACCAACAACGAGAGATGATTTGGGGGAGGCGGGATGGTGAGGAATGGAATGGCATCTATGGCAACTACAATTTCGGGGGCACACGCCGCAGGCTGAAGTGTCAAAGAGACATGGCCAGGCCATCCTTCGAAGCTACACAAATGTTGACAAGCTAATGAAATGTGAGGAGGTTGCGTCTTTGGTCTTGGGCTCCCAAAATTGATACACTCCGCAGAGCTAAATGCAGAGACAGACACAGAGGCTGAGCCAAGTAGTCCCAAGCGACCATTAGGTCCCATTGGGGATGGAGTGGGCTGCGGGGGGAGGCATTGTTAAATTGTTGCTTAGACATTCGGTTATGCAAATCGAAATTATAATGAAATCAACCATAAGGACGAGCAGAGCCAAAGAACAGACAGCAGAGAACAGAGTCGTCCTGCTACTCCCTTCCGGGGGGCATGTATAATTGATTGATGGCACAGTTTCTGGTTCTCGTTCTGTTTCTGTCACGTCCAAGGGTCTCAATATTCATCATTTATGGCCTTGATCGAGAGGCGAGTGAGTACATTTCAATCAGCCCAAAGATCGTACATCAGGCCAATTCAAAACTGAAGTCCAAAAACAATTTGCCAGTAAACTGTGCGACAGCCGGAGAGTACAGGGCAGCCCCAGAAAAAGATACAACTCCGTACCCTCGTACATAAGTGGTAAATCACATCAATATGTAACTCACTCGGAAACAGCATCATCCAGAAGAACTAAGTAAAGTGAAAGTAAAAAAACAAAACACACACAGATGCCAAAGATGTTTATCTAAGAGTACGAGGACTCTCGGACCCACCCCACCTCCCACCTCCCACCTCCTAGGGGCAACGATTTGCTATGCAATTTTACACACTTGACCATTAAACGTGGCCATTGGGAGCAGTTTGCATAGCAATGAAGCCAAAGGCACAGAGAGCAAGCCAGAGCCAGAGCCAAAGCCAAAGCCAGAGCCAGAGCCAGAGAGAAAAGCTGAACGCTGAATGGTGAATGGTGAATGGAAAACCATGGTCCAGGGTTCAACTTGATGAAGTATGAATGATTACAGACAGAGAGGGAAAAGGAAAGAGCAGAGAGACACTGAGGGATGAGGATGATGACGATGATGATGGCTAACCGCATTGAGGAGGTGTGTCTAGTTGACTGTAAAAACTTCAATGAATAAATTTTTCGAAGCTCCCCTTTTTGCTCGCTGTCTGGTCATAAATACAAGTCCTTGTCCCTCAGAGTCCAGTCACATATCTGATGTATGGAAAGTGGACAGTGGAAATGCGTGCAGTAGGCAGCAGCAAAGTAAATTGATTCAAATGAAAACGCTCATAAATTTCCATAGACTCAGCACGAAAAAAAAAATGCAAACATAAATAAGGAATTGATGGCCAAGTCTGATCAAAACTGAAACAATTCCAGCTAAAGGAGGAACAAAAAAACACAACCAAAAAGGTGCACATCATAAATTGAGAGCCAAGGGTATAGCCATTTAACCCATTAAAGTCCTAAGAAATTAAATAAAGAAAGACCCGTACGTACTTGGGCCAGTCCTTCCTTCGGCTGGCCCCCTGCTGACACTTGACGATTTGTCATGTTGACACAATAAAACGTCAGAGAACGTCGACGGTCCAAAGTCGAAGGAGAAGGTGAAGGAGAAGGAGAGGAAGAAAGCTTCGGAGAATATTCCCTGGAATTATGACAAACTGTCTCAAAAATGCTGCTGGAAAATACTGTTAACGTTTTGAGGCTGGCGAACTTGGACAAAGGACACACCGTGGCGTAGGGCCAGGAGTAGAGCAAAAAATATATATGAACTCGTCTTTTTTGTATTTTTTGTTGACTGACGAAACGAATGAATAAAGGAGCGAACGGAAAGTTGCACGAACGTATGAGGCAAATGTCTGCTGATGAAAATGATGAAACAGCAAGAAAATATGCCAGAAGGAAAGGGCAGGGCAGGGCAGGGCAGTGGCAGGTCCTGTGTCCCGTGTCCTGTGTGGCACGAGGTCCATGCAAATACAATGAACTTGACTTGAAAGTCCTCCTCTGTGGCCTCCTGATGTCTGCATTTATGAGCATAAAAAATTGGCACCGCATTTACACAGACAATCAAGCGCAGTCTTTGCTTTTCCTCTCCCTCTCTCGCCCGCTTTCTGTGGAGAGGAAAATGTGGGGGGAAAATCGCTTAAAAGGCAAAAAGGCGACAATAGCTTTTGTCATAGTTTTTTTCTTTTCTATTTTCTTGCTGGAAATTGCACAACTCATCAAAAGTCTGGGGCTGCTGGCATTTGCATTTAGCGTTAAATTCCATGTTGATGTTGACAAAAAGGTGACAATTGTTCTGCCCTGCTGCTCCTTAACTGCATTTAATCAAGAGGCAGTCCTGTTTTATCAGAGAGTTGCCACAAATTAGCGATTAGCATGTGTTTATGCTGGCCATAAAATATTCTATGCCTCTCGGAGGAGAGGAGCGAAGTGCTTGCTGCATAAAACTTTCTGCATAATTCAGGCACCAAGACACACATTCTGTCTTCAGTGTTCAGACTCTTATAATAATAATTAGACAAGAGAGCGAGGGATAGACAGACGCTGCCGACATTAATCAGCCTTCAAGGCAAAGGAGTCTCATCAACAGCATCCTTCCTCCCGCCAGCCCAACGCATGAGCGATGGAAACTTTTCGCCCACCACAAACTTATTTTCAACAAATTAATTTTACCAACCGCGCAAAAAAGGATGCCTGCTCCTCCTGCTCGCTATTTGCTCAAACTCTAGTTAATGAAATCACCTGCACTCCGTCCAGATTGCTTTCCACTGTGCACCAATGCGAGTGCACTCGGAGAAAAATGGCATTGAAATACGCACATAATTAAATCAAATATTTAATGTAACAAAACAAATTCACATTAAATAGAAATCACTTTGATTTAGACAGAGCTGCATTTAAATATAAATTATTATAAATAAATACTCAATTTATGGGAATATATTCATTTGGAATGTGAAACATATTTAAATCAATTATCTTCCAAAAAATAAAAGTGAAACTCTTCAAAACTCTGAGCTTTTTTTCTCTGTGTGTGTGGGGAGTGTGTGTCAATTTTTGGTTAACTTCAAAACTCGCGCAAACATTATGTCTGGCTGGCATCGATGGCAGGCACTGACTCTGCCGCTGCAGACTCTGACTCTGACTCCCCTTTGCTGCTGTGGCGGCTCTGATGCACACACCTTTTAAACATTTATTTATTTGGTTTTTTTGGCGGTGGCTGGCGTTCCATTTGTGTAGTGCAATTTCCAGCTGCCAGACGCAGCATTTTGCTCCACGCCGCATACATCAAGCTGCGGGCAACCGAATGCTGCACGTGAATCTGGCGTAGCATATGGAAATGATGTCCGCTCGCCAACGATTGTGGCAGTGGGGGGCAGCGGCGCCATGGTGGCAGAGAGATGGTAATGCAAAACGTAGCAAATTGAGTTCATTTCGTGGCAGGCAGCAGCAGGCAAAACTTATCATTAGTATCGCTTTTCAGCGCACTCGTGCCGCATGCCGAATGAAGCCGGAGGTCCAGGCACACACTCCCACATACCCACACTGAGGACACGGACCCTGGCGCACGTAAACATGTAATAATTACTTGGGTTCTAGGTGTTTTTCAACTCACTTTTACTCCGCCAAAACTTTTGCCACAACTTTTTTTAGGGTTAGATTGTAAGAGTGTGGCGGAGTGCCAGTGGATTGTGTGTGTGGCACGAAGCAGAGACTCGACTCGACTCGACTCGACTCCTGGCCTTCTGCTAAGCGAGTATTAGTGGAAATTTAATATTGCAATTAATACAGCAACAAAGTGTGCATTGCATATTAATAAGTTAGTTTCTGTCGCTTCTAGTTTGAGTTTGAGTGAGTGGCCCAAGTTGGTCTGGGATTCCTCCAGCTCCTAGTGTGTTCCGGCCCCCTGCTCCTGCTCATGTGCTCATGCTGGATTAGTGCACTGGAGGGCAAACATTTTGTGTGCCCGTAAAAGCCAAAGTTACAACCCCATAAGTTGGCTTAGGGTTGAAGGAACGGGGCCACCGCCACACAGCCAGCGTGTTTGGTTTTAATGCCTTGGGGGTCCGTCCGTCAGTCAGTCACACATTCAATATTCATATTCATATACACCCGAGCTCTCCGAGCTCTCGAAACTCTATGGCTCGCTCGCTCTCTCATTTAAGCTTTTAATGATTTCCAAAGTTCTGTCCGCGAAAAAACAGAATGCAAAAAAAACAGAGAGGAAAAAATGCGGAACTTTCACATTTAATGCGCTTAGCCGTGGCCCGTTTAACTGCAAAAACTTACGAGTACTCCTTACATTTCTTTTCCTTCTTTTGACTGTGATTTAGTTTTGGAAAATCTCTTTTTTTTCACGCGCCGCCTGGTATTCAAAAAGGAAAACCGTTCTAGCAGCAGCATCAGCACAGCAGCGGGCGGGCGACAAAAACTATTTGTGCAAACAACAAAGAAAACTTGAGCGCAAAAAAAGGAAAATCATCATCATCAGCGGGAAGCGGGGCGGAGGAGAAGCAGTGGGAAGAATCTGAAGGAACATCGCAAGTGCAGCCAACTACAAAAGCGCAACAAAAGCAATTTAAATTTAGCCAGAGGCATTTTCCCGAGCACAGACCAGACCGAACAGAGAGCGGAAAAGCGCCGGAGAAGTGGCGGTGTGGTGTCGCTCTGTCCACGGCTGTCCACGAGCGGAGGGTGCACAAAATTTCATTTCATTTGCCGAGCAGCGCGCGAGAAACGTTTTTAGTCATAACTTTTTAATTTGTTTGTCAGCGACAGGCAGCGACCGGCCGAGTCCTCAAATCCAAATCCAAGCCCAAGCCACAGCAGAGAGTATGCCCATAAAAGGTAGAAATGTATACCAAGTCTGTGAGTCATAGAGTGAGGACTCCTGCCTGATTAGCGCAATTGTAAGAGCTCCCCGACGGACACAAGCACAGGACAAGGGACAGATTTTGGTAGCCCCAAAAAGAATGCTATCAAAATCGATTCGAAAAGGATGAAGGAAACTTATAATAAGGAAGGAAAAGAAGTCCTAGAAAACCATCAGAATCCGAAGCATTAGATACACTTGCTGGTCCATGAATGCCACAGAATGCCTGAGAATGCAGAGACGAAATACACGTGCTTAGTGTGGCATAATACCTTTTTTTATGAGACAAAACATCTCTAGAAATTCATAATACCCTCTGCCAAGAATAAGAGCATCACAATGCTCTCTGTATCTGCTCGACTCTGCTAATGCTCCTGCTGTGGCTCGGCTCCTGCTCTACTCTGCCGTGCTCTGCCCCCATCCTAGCAGCATTTGATCAATGCAAAAATGTGTGCTTGGTGTACATGTCTCTAGGGTTGATTTATCTATTTACTCGACAGCCTCGTCATCAGAGTGGAAGCTCCTTTTGGGAGCTGTCAATATTTAAAACGTTGTCCTTGCTGTGTCCTGTGCCACAAGCGGCAGCAGCAGCTGCTGCTCTCCTGCTCTCCACTGCCAGGAAGGACCCCCTCAGTCAGAGACCACCTCCCTGACTGTACCGCTGCTGCTCTGCTGCTGCGTGCTTAACAAGAGTTTATTGAATTTTATTTTCTCATCTCAATTTGATGGCCGTCGCCCCTGCTTATTTTTGGGGCAACATATTGCTTGTCCTGTTTCTTGACATACTTTTCGTTTCTGGCAGGACTCGGCTGCATTTAAATTTCAAATTGTTTTATTGCCGGACCCCCCGAAAATAATTGAAAATTTTCTAGACAGAAAACACTTTTTTTGCCAGTGCCCGCTTGTAAATCGCTCAATATACAAAAAGAGAAAATTAAATTGTTATAAATTTCCATGGCGCGAAGAGAAAACTTTTCCGCCGTGTGTCTCCCATGTCCCATGTCCCATGTCCGTGTTCAAGTTTTTCGATTACGGATTAATGTAATATTTTTTATATTATTATTTTGTTGATTTTTTTTGTGTTTTTTTCTGACCCCTGACGGGGCCCACTTGCTTTTTTGTTTGACTTGGACGCTGGCTTGAAAGTTTGATGAATTTTTTAAATTTAAAAAGTTTATTTGTGCGTTTGTAAGTTGGCCGAGAGACCAGAACAGAACAGAACAGAGCAGAGCAGAGCTGAGCAGAATCCCAGCTTATTAGAAGTGCAGAGGCGACAGGACACTTCAAAGGCTGCCCACATCCAAGTTTTTTCCTCGCCTCCCCGCCCTACTAATATGTTTATTTGAATTGCTTTTTCCTCCACGCAGATTTTCCTAATTTGAAAACATTTTCTATTTACCCTCCGCCAGAATCTTTTATGTCTCTCTGCCACTGTCAATATCCTTATTTATCTGTGGTTTTACTCCGTGGGGAGGAGGAATGGGGCTTTATTAGCACCTTTGGCGGTTGTTTGCATCCCCCAAGATCCGGGGGGGCTCTATTTCATCCGGTATTTGCTTAGGCAGTTGCCTGTTGACAAAAATATGTGTATTTGCCAGGCACATGATGTTCCGGAAAGAGCCCACAAAGGGAGGCACAGTTCCCCCCCCAATCTGATGATGGTTTGGTGTTAAATATTTATAAATAAATTTAAATATGATTCTGTACTACAATGTATTCTTTTTGTGTGTGCGGTGTGGCATTTTGTGCAAGCAAATACCTCAATAACAATTATAATTACACGCTCACAGAAATGTATTTTCGTGTCCGACTGCATTTAATGGATGCCAAAATTATTGCACAAAAATAAATGCAAAAATCAACATTTTACTCGGTAAATCGGACTAATGGAGGGGCCACTCGTGCCCGTGGTCATGGGAGGGTTGCCAAATGGCGCTAGGGGGCGGGGCTGTGGCGGGCTGTGGGCGTATGTTAAACAAAATCAATTACAGATAATTTAACGTCAATGGAAGGACGGACGGAAAAGGGTGCCAAAGGTGGCAGCAAGGGGCCAGGGACCACAGGCCATTGGCCATAATAGAGTCATTTAAGTACAGTTTAAACATTAATACCAGCTGGTGTGTGAGGTGGGGGTAATTGCAGCGTCTAACACTCTTGGTGCTTGCTGCTGCTGCTGCTGCTGCTGCTGTGGCAAGAGGGTGGGCCATCGGATAAATCGATAATAAATGTGGCAGGACTCTGAACACTGACCTGGCCGCCTGTCCGATTCCGTTCCACAAACAGAAAGCAGAAAGCAGAAACACACACACACACATAGACACACGCAGGACACATAAAACAAAGGACACACAGAGGGGCATACATCACACATGGTGCAGAGGCGCCGCCGCCGCCGCTGTTTGTTTGACTAGCGACCACACAACTGGGGAAATACAACTAAAAACTAGTCCGTGTCCTGGCAAACAAGGGGCAGGCAGAAAAAAAAAACACGTTAAAGGAACGCGAACGCAGGAGTTGCCACACTTTTTGCTCGCCTTGTGGAGCCGTTGCATTTCTCTCTCTGGTCGTTGGTCGCTGGTCGCTGGTCTCTGGTCGACGGCCAACAAATTGCAGTGACATTTTCAACGCCAACTAATCAATATGGTCCGACACATGTGGCTCCAACTAGAAAAGGGGTGGCAGCAGTGGCAGCGGCAGCGGCAGCGGCAGGAGGATTAGGACGAGTGTGGTAGACTTCTCTTACTGGCTGGCAGGACAAAGCGCAAGTGCTGGCCAAACAATTGCGGTTAATGCTCGCCCCCTGGAACGAGCGACCGATAGTTATGACTGATAAAATACAGAATAATAAACCCAGTCAACCCAGTAGCGTTTTCGTTTTTTTTCTTCTTTTTGGGGCAACATTTTATACAGTCGTCCCAACAAAGTCCAACTTTTAGACCCATAAATTCCCTTGGAAAATATAAACCCGATTCCGAGAGAGGAAGAGCCTCTCATTGGTATGCCAGTGGCACGGAGGTTGCACATTATTTTATTACGCGCAATTGAACCCAAAGGACGTGGGGCTCCATAAAATGAGGGAGAAGGAAAGGAATCAACTTGAAGAAGGACGGATACCCGAGTATTCTAATATTCATATATAATTTCATTTAATTGGCATTTAATCGACTCCGCCCTTTCTGAGGGAAGAAGATCGAAGTAGAAAGTGTCTACAGACAGACAGCTCGAAGGTTAACCGACAGTTAGCTCCTCTGTATGTGGCAATTAAATGTGAAGAGTATATGGGGGGGGCAATATATAATTATAAAATCTATTTGCAAATGGCATATCTATGCGCATACTTAGACACTAGCTTAGAGGACGCTTCACTTAAGTATAGTTTGCAGTTATCAATAATCAAAAGATGGGGGAGGGTTGGGGGGGGGGGGGGGGGGGGGGGGGGGGGGGGGGTGTTAATCACTTAATTTAACAACAACAAAAAACTACAATGTACAACACAAATTACAACAGCAAATGAAGCATGTATCTACGTGGCGTGATATGAAAGAGATTTCTATGGGAAATGCACAACTGCAGCAGCAAATAAATTACAACAAATTTTTGGATGGCATGCAAAAGCTCAAGTTCCAGAGACAGAAAGATAAAAGATATAGAAAGATACAGAGAGAGAGAGATTGAGGTAGAGAAAAGAGAGAGAGAGAGAGTAATTCTACTTCTTTTTTTCTGATACGAAAATGACTGGCGGGAAAAACTCAAAGAGAGAGCAAGAGATCATTTTTTTCTTAGTTTTCTTTTTTTTTTGTAAGTTCTTTTGTATGGAATAGCGTTTTTTTAGTGAACACACAAACCTTTTTAGGAGAAGATAAGTGTAGTGAAGTTGGCGATGGCATAGAACAATCAGAAGATGCAGAACTGCAGCCGCTGCTGGCGCTGCTGCATCCCGTGGCAGCACGGCCCACAGCCCCGCCCGCTGATGACGGCGACACTGATGGCGATGTCAATGGCGATGGCAATGGCGATGCTCTCTGCAGCAGTAGTGGCGGTGGTGGTCCCGGCCCCAGCAACGAGAGAAGGGGCACGGGCGCACCACCGGGTACCATCAGTGTGCCGCCGCCATAGCCGGGGCCAAGGCCAAGGCCGGCGCCCAAGATGCCAGCAGCCGCAGATGCAGACGGCTGCTTAGTAGTAGTGGTAGTAGTTCTAGTTACGGCTGATAGATTAACTGTATTATTTACATTGTTGGTCGGTGTGGTTGCTGCGGATGTGGGCGTGGCGGCCGTGGCAAACATCGCCGAGGCGGCCACCGCCGCCGCCCCAGCCGGTATGATCGTGAGCGGTGTGCTCGGTGCGGCAAAGAACTGTGGTGCTGCCGCCGCCGCCGCTGCAACCGGCGGACCCACAGCCGTGGCCCCCGCCTGGTGGTACTTGGTCGGCGTGGCCGGTGCAGCGGCCACACTCACATTGTTCACCTGCAGTTGCATATACGTCTGCAGCATGGCCTGCGCCTGGGCCTGAGCCTGTGCTTGGGCTTGGGCCTGGGCTTGGTAGTGGAACTGCTGCTGGAGCTGTTGTTGATGCTGTGCCTGAGCCTGAGCCTGTGCCTGTGCCTGGGCTACTGCCACCTGCTGATGGAAGACGGCCGCCTGCTGCTGCTGCTGCTGCTGTTGGTGGTGGTGATGGTGCTGCTGATGCTGCTGCTGTTGATGCTGCTGGTGGACGGCAACGACGCTGGTCTGCATGGCCGGCGAGGGGTAGGCCTGATAGGTGGCTGCAGTCGCGGCTGCCGCCGGATGCTGCAGATGCGGATGTGGATGCGGATGCGTGGACGGCGGTGCGTGCAACAATTGCATTTGCTGTGCGTGGTGTGAAGGGTTTTTGCTCTATTCAGATTATTTGTGGTATTTTTTGTTTGGTTTTGTTTGTGGCATGTCTCTGATTTTCAGTTGGGTTTTTGAATTGGCAATAGCACAATAATTTGTGGACTCGAAAACAATAAAATTGCATTTCTACAAAACTCAAAAAATTAACCAAAAATATTTGTTCCTCATATTTATGTTTCAGTCAGTATTTTATATTACTCAGTATTTTCTGTGGTTTTGTGGCGCGAACGAGGTTGAAGGTTTCCTGAGATTTCTGTTAAAATAATAAAGTTTTTCTTTTGGGGGTAACGAGAGAGAGAGAGAAAGAGTAGGGCGAGAGAGAGACTACAGGAAGTGATTCGAGTTTTGGCATTGGAGGAGAGACAGAGCAGTGGATAAAGAGTTTAGCGAGCGCTACGAGTGGATAGATAAATCTACAATTGGAACAGTAGTAGAACAGTATTGAGAGATAGATAGAGATAGAATTCTTGAGAACCCTCGTGGCCCTCTTACACGCGTCAAAGAAGTCGAGAAAGTTGAATGGGCTTTGCAGCATTCAGCATCGTTTAATTAGATTTTAATGTCAATGGCTTTGGCTTAGCAACAAAACTTAAAAGTAAACTATTTACACAAAACAGAGATAGACAAAAATGGTGAGAAATGGAGAGATGGAAAGTTTTGCAAAAAGATCATTGAAAAAGTTTCAACTAAAACTAGTTCTTGAACCACAAAAACCAATCAAAAGCAAAGCTAAAATATATTTTACAATATTTACAACTTAAAATTAATCTCCACACCATTGACATTATTTGTTTATATCGAATAGAGTCATTATAGTAAAGATATCAGCAGAGAGAGTGAGATAGAGAGAGCGAGAGCGAGAGAGAAGTTTTTTTTAACCAAAAAACAAATAATTGAAGTATAGAGGAATATATTGTAGTAAGTAGTGGGCTTTTTGCATAAACTGTACAATTCGGTATTATTCTTTTTGCGTTTTGCAGTAGTATCTTTATAATATGGAGGATGGCTGGTTATATATCAGTTATTCATAAGCTGAATAATTCCATGTGGTTAATAGGTTGTGGGTGGTGGGGCAGTATGGCATGGTCTGGCATTGGGGAGAAACTTAGAATGTTTTGCGTCTCTCAGAGATTGCTTTCGAAGGCAGTTTCAAATCGGTTTTTATATTCAGTTCTTCTTTTGAATTCGGTTTTCAAAATTTCACTTTCAATTTTTGTTTTTTTTTTTTGTTTTTGTATTAATTTTGCGTTGGTCTTTCGGATTTGTTTTGATTGATTTGATTTGGACGGCGCTTACCATGATTAAATCTTGTATAGGGGAGGACTCGGACTCGGCTGCTGAATCGGATGTGGCGATTTCGCTCTTTACCGTTAGCGGCGACACTGCTGCTGCTGCTGCTGCTGCTGCTGCTGGCGACACTGCTGCTACTGCTGATGGTATGGTGGCAGATGCAGAGGCGACTCCAACTGCTGCTGGAGACGCTGACGCAGACGCTGATGGAGGTGCCACCGGCGGTCCGGTGGTTATAGGTGTGTTGGTATTAGAATTGGCGGCGTTAACGGCCAGCGATGCTTGAGAGCTGCTGCTGATACTTAGCGCTGCAATCGCTGCTGACGCCGTGGTTTCTGTTAACGCGGCAATGATGACAGATTTTATTGGCAACAAATGTTGATTAAAATATTTCTGCTGCTGCTTCTGTTTGTTTTTGTTTTTGTTTTATGGTTTTTTCCTTTTTTGCACTTTTCTTTTTTGGTTGTTGTTTGTTTCAATAATTTTCTTGGCCCGTTACGATTAGTTGTTTGATTATTTGTCGATTATTTGTAATTGTTTCGTTTCTTTTGATTTTTGGTAATTTCTTGAGGCTTTTGGGCAGGCTTTTGGGGTGTGACGGGAGGACTCTTTGCACAGGATGTGTGGTGGTTGGTGTGTATGGATTGGATATGAGCTCTGTTTTATGTTTGCTTTGTTTTCTGTTTAGATATGATTAGATATATACTTGTTGTTTTATTGTTTATAATATATATTTCTTCTTGTATGCCAATTGGTTTCCTTAAGCCTTACGCAAATTGTTGCTACGATTAGAGTAGAAGCATCCCACACAGGACTCGCAGGACAAAAAAAAATACACCTAACAACTTTTGCTATGCATCTACTGTTTTGATTGTTTTTGGGATTTTTGAGCGTATCTTAAGCGTAAGTATATGTATCTTTGTATCTATAAAATGTGTGTGTCAGTGTGTGTGACTTCCTATATCCGTATAATATCACTACTGGGGGAGGTTTCGATTATTTTAAGAGTATTTTTTAGAGATCTATAAAGTTTTGAAAACCGTTTTTCGAAGATTGTTTAGATTGATTGTTCAGATTGATTGATTGAGGGAGAGAGATTGTCGTAGTAAATAGTTCAAAGGTTCGCACGAGGTTAGATCGTTAGAGTAGATTGTGCTAAAGCTAGCATAAAAGTTTTTTATAAATATGGTATCCTACAGATACAGATGTAGAAGATGTATATAGATATTTGTATATATATATATAGATCATGTATAATATATCTGATTGGATATATCTGATCTGATGTGTATATATGAAATACGCTAATTTCGTGTGATTGTCAAAACGCGTACTCTTGTCGATCGAGGCATTTGATTTGACCCGGCGATCCCTTCCTCTCTTATAAAATAGCCCCTCTTAACCCACTTAGATATGCTAGGAGTTCTAGGAGACAAAAATCGTTTGATTTGATTGATTGATTGGTTGCTACTCTCTGTTGGAGCTCTCTGATTGACGCTGCTTGCTTATCGTTTACAAATTGACTGTCTTGAATCCTTTATTCACTTAATCCCATAGACACCTATTAACCAATTAAATATTTGATTGATTTTTGGGAAGGATTCTGTGTTGGGGTTGTGGGGTGCTATTTATTTTGGTTTTTTTTTCGTAATATCAATATTTATTTAGCTATTTCTTTTGATTCCTAATTCCTCTGTTTGATTCTCCTCATCTTTTGCTTTCCGATTGCTTTTCTTTTCCTTTCTTTGATGCTGATATGTCGCTATTTCGCTTCTTGTAAATACATCTATACTTAATTTTCAATTCAACAACCTTTCCAGGGGGGTGGCTCTCCTTCTGTTTACCCTTTGACCTGCTTATCACCTTTTCCTAATTGATTTTCCCCTTCTCCTCTTTCAAATTACGCTCAAAATTAACAACCGAACATACAAGTATACATATATATATATGATATATAAATTTATATAAAATTCACAATTATTTTTGTTTGTTCTGGGCTTTCTTGTAAATATTCCTTGCAAATCTTCAATTTTTATATATTTTCTTTTTTAAATACTGCGCCTTGTTTTTAAGGGAAATTCTTCTGATACTAGCAACAATTTACCACTTTTTGTTTGCGTTTTGTTTCTTGTTTTTGTGCCTTTATTTGTTTTATATTTTTTCTTTCGTTTTTCGGTTCTGTTCTGTAATGCTTTTGATGGTGGGGTAGCGATGGGTCGTGGGGTCGGGAAGGGGACTTAAGGTTTTTAGAAAAATACCAAGGGATTCTTTTCGCTTTTGGGCCTTTTACTTTTCGTTTTTATTTGCTGGCTTAATTCATTTGGCTGTTTACCAGTTTTCTTTTTCTTTTTCTGTTTCTGGCCAAATAAATGACAGAAATTGTTAAAATGTGATTTAATTTAATGCGAGGAAATATGTTTAAAATATAATTGAAATAAACTCCATTTCGAAATGAAAAGCTGTCCAAATAAATTTGATACAAATACCGAGTATTTATGCATTTCATTTATGCTCTGAATTTTCAAGTGTTTTTTCCTGTATTTTGCCAATTCAAAAACCCAAACTTGTAAAGCAAAAAAATGACTATCAAATCACGATTAAAAGACAGAAAAAAACAAAACAATTAAATAACGAACAATTATAAAATGCACAAAATAAGAAACAAAACACAAAACGGGAGACACAATGGGCATGAATATTTAATAATAATTTGCTCTTATTACCAATCGAGTGTCGAGTCAGAGAGTCGTTCAAGTAGGAGATGAAGTGATGGTTTTTTTCTGTTCAGAGTTTTAGAGTTTTTGTTGCAGGTTTTATTTTATTTAGTTGCTTTTTGTTTTGCGAATTTTTGTATACTTTTTTTTGTATTTGATCGTTTAGATGTTATTGGAGATTGTTTTGCTGTTGTTGTTGTTGTGGCGGATCTTGTAATTATTGCTCTGGAACAAAAGCAAAGCAAAAAAAAAGTTGGAATATTTCGCGTTTTGGAATATTTTGTGCTCTTGGTTTCGTGTTTTTTGTTTTTATGTGTCTGTGCTTCAAGTGTTTTTGGGTGTTTTTTTTTTGTATAATTATTTCTTTTTGTTGAGTAATAAAACACGTTATTTTTTTTTTTGGGTAAGAATTGAATGACCGACAGCAGAGCGTTCTGTCTCTCCTCTTTCTCTCTGATTAACACACGCACAAAATTTCTTTACCTTTACCGGTTTCTATTTTTGTTGTGGTTGCTCTTGCTGTGTGCTGTTGTATTTGAGTCACACTTTTGTTGGCAAAAAAATGAAACAACAACACAGAAGCAACACCGGATGGCAGGCGTTGCCAAGCGGCCAGAAAAAGAGTTTCGCCGTGCGAGAAATGCCGCGTGGGCTAAAATTCTTACACTCTCCTCTTTGCCCTAGCCCACCGACCAAAGACCGTGGAGAAAGACGTGTAATTACAACAATAAAAATAAACTACGGGAATTATTTGGAAGCGTACTTAGAAAGAAGCAAATCCGAAAGAGCCAGCGACAAGTGGCCAAAGAGTCAGTGGCTCTGGGCTCTTAGCTCTGACTCCGTCTCTGACTCTGTCTGAATGTGCGGCCTATTGGAACGTTGGTCCCATAAGGTTTTATGGCGTCGAGTTCGGGCTCTGGGCTCTGGGCACTGGGCTCTGGGCTCTGGGCTCTGAAGGAAGAGACGGGCTACGTCTGCTCTTTTTTTGTTGTTGTTTCTTTTTTGCCTGCTTTTTGTATATTTTCGTTTCTTTTTTGGGTTCTTGTTTCGCTGTTTCGTGTTTTGCTTCACGTTCTTTTCGTTCACAAAAACGTGTTTCTTTGTTGGCCAGGCCCTGGGCCTGTGTGTGTTTTGCCGGCTATATGCTCATTCGGGCCTATTGCCAGTGCGACACCGAAAGAGAGTAAGAGAGGGAGTGAGACGAGAGGGGAGAGTGAGCGCTGTGGCATATAAGAATATGATGAGAGTATCATTAATGGGGATCGAGGGAGAGAGAGAGAGTCTCGAGCAACGAACTTTTGCTTGGCAATTCTTTGGCTTTGGCTTTGGCTTTTTGTTCTTTCTGGTGTATTATTTTTTACTTTTCTTCTCCGTGTGTGTGAGTGTGTTTCTTTTATTGTTAATTTCTGTATGAGCACAAAATATTTCTTGTTGTTTTTTTTTTTATTTAATATTTTTTGTTTTTTTTTTTTTTTACTTATTTTGCTTACATTTGTTGGTTGTTGTTGTGGTGTAGTGTAGAGCGAAAGGTGCGAGAATATACACTGAAGATTTCAGAGTTTTTGTTGGTTTTAAAGTTTTGATTTTGGATTTGGGCTCACACGCGCAAAAAAGTGAAAACTACTCCACAGCGATAGCGGGAGAGAGAGATAAAGAGAGATTGAAGAACCGGTAAGAGAACTGTTTTATGTTTTAATAATTGTTTAAATTGATGTATTTGTATTCATGTGATTTAGCGTTTGATTTTTCTTTGCTTTTTGTTACGCGCTACGTTTCCGGGGGTTAACTTTGATGACTATTTCGTTGGGGATGCTACTACTGACTGATCCGGATATCGACTGGGTGCTGCTGGGTCTTGGACTTGGACTTGGACTTGGATTTGGCGTGTGGCGTGTGGCGGCGGCGTCGTCGTTCGTTCGGTTATTTTCTTTTTATCATTATCCGCGTGTGCTGTGTGTGCTCTGCGATATACGTTGTTGCTGGTGTTGCGGCTGTTTTCGATTTGAACTCGACTTTGATTTGGATATTGAAATTTTCGTGAGTGAGTGGAGACTCCCGTGTGCGGCCCGAGTGTGTGTTTGTGTGTGTGAGTGTGTGCGAGAGTGGGTGCTGCTTCTGCTGCTGCTGCTGCTGCTCCTGCTTCTGCTTCTGTTACTGTTGTTCTTGTCGTTGGCGGTGGTAGTAGAGATGTTGATGGTGGCAGCGGCGGCGGCGGCGGCGGCAAACGGCAACGGCAACGGTAGCGTAGCGGAGAAGGTGATGTTGGTGGTTGGTTTGTGATGTTATGAATGTAAATGTGGTAGTGGTAGTGATGCGCTGACTGCGACGACTACGACGACTGCGACTGCGACAGAGGAGGAGACACGGTTACGGCTACTCCGACTCCCGGCTGCTGCTGCTCCTGCTGCTGATGATGATAATGATGATGATGGTAGAGTGCTGCGGCGGTGGTGGCGGACACAGGCGAAGAAGCGACCGCTGCTGCTACTGTAGTATTATGTCTGTGTGTGTGTGTGTTTGTGTTACTTCTATAGAGAGAGAGTACAACGGGCCTGATGCTAGCGAGAGCGTACGTACGAACGAACGAACGGCGGACAGAATTGGAACGGGTTAAAGCAAAGACTGTACGAAGACTGAAGTAAGAACGACTGGCATTCTAAGGTAATATACCTTTTTGTTTCGGAGTCGTCCACGGCGCGACAGCGACAGCAGCAGCAGCGTCGCTGCCTCTGTCAGATTGAATCTGTTGCGTCGACGACGACGTCGGCCGAGACAGCGACAGCAACAGCGCAACAGCGGCAGCGACGCGTGTTAACCAAAATAAAGCAACAGTGGAAAGGCCCAGAGAACCGGACGACCGACCGACACCGACCCAAGAACCGACCAAACCGAATCAGCATCGTCGTCGTGAGCCCCGAACCCACCCGGTGGATGGTGCATGCTCGGCAGTGGCGTCGGCTTCGACTTCGGCATCGGCAGCATTTCTCCTGCGGGCAGCGGACTCCGAAAAGCGGAGGAATGTTGTTCGGAGCAGCAGCACGTATTACACTGCCCCTGCCTGTAGCGCTCAGCTCAGCTCACTCCCTCTCCCTCTCTCACTCATTCCTCGATGTGGCTCTCAGCTGTTGTTTGGTTACCTGCCGGTTTTTGATTTCTGTGCTGCCTCTTCTTTTATTCTCCTTCTTCTCTGGGTCTCAGCGCCTCTTTCCCTTTGGGCACATTCTTTTCTGGTTTTAGGCCTGGCCTGATCTTGCTTGCCCGCTTCTCTCTCTCTCCCTCTCTCTTTGCTCTTCCTCAGGTGCGCGCAATTATCAATTGCCTTTCGGTCATTATTCTCATAATGCTCTCATGGATGATGATTCGCTGTTATACCACCATGCCACACACACAAGTATAAGCACAAGTATAAGTATAAGTGTATGTGTATAAGAGTATAAGACAATCGAGGATCGTGGCCTGAGTGGGGTGGATGCTTTCACCTTCGTGCCAAATCACACGAGAGGACACACACAACCTGTGCTGCTGCCGCTGTTACTGCTGTTGTAATGGCTATTGTTGCAGTAACATTACTGGTACACACACACACACACACACAGAGAGATACACTCGGACACACTGAGGTGAGGGCGCCCCCCCATGTGAGATAGCAAATGCATGCGCCATGCGTGCGCGCCCCCCTCAGCCACAAAACAACAGCAACGGTGCGAGTGAGTCCGCTGCCCGCTAAGGGTGCACAAGAGCAAGAGAGAGAGAGGGAGCGTGAAAGAGAGAGCGGCACCGAGAGCTATGAGGGGGAAGTAGCAAGGGACTGCAGAAAGGGGGGGTCACAGGGTGGTGGAACAGCGAAAAAAGGCAGAACGACGACGGCGGCAGGCGGCAGCGACAGCAGCGATGGCAAAATCAACGAGAAAATAATAATTGTTACACCTGCTTCGGAAATGCCCGTCAGGAGGGTGGAAATGGGGTGGCACGGGCACACACACACACACACACACACACACATAGAGACAGAGACGAAGCACACGACAGGGAACGAGCTTCGTCGGCTGCTTTCAGGTGAGCATCATCGTTGGGGCCACCACCACCGACACCCCCAAATAGAGGCGGTCGCAGTAGCAACAGCGGCAGAGGCAGGGCAGCAGCACGCTGCCGAAATGCCGAAGCACGGCAAACGCACGAGCCACGAGCCGCGAGCACGAGGGCCGGGCCGCCTGCTGACGAACGGCACTGGGCCGAGTGCCGATGGTCGTCGTTGCCGACCACACGAGACTCCGAATGCGGGCAGCGCGCATGACGCCAAGGTGCAAATTTGTGCGTAGGTATGCGAATGACCATCGTCTGTGTGTGTGTGTGAGCGAGTGGGTGGCCCACCCACAAGCCCCTCACGGAGGGGTTGTACTCAACAGCTGTAGCAGAATTTGTTGTAAGGGGTGGATAGGACTTCTCTCTCTCTTTCTCTTTCTGTCTGTATGCTAAGAGGGGTAGCGCACACTGTGACTGTTAAGTGAAAGCTCCTTTCGCTGAGAGCTTTCTGTTAAGACCCCCTAGGACATGGAACGAGCAACAGTTAAGACATTATCAACTTGTTGTTCCGCTAGAACTTGATGAGCCCCATCATCAACTCCAGAAACTCTCAGGACCCCCAGAACGAATCGAGTGCTCAGAACTTGTGTCGTCAAAGTTCGCTCAAAGCTTTAATTGAACTAATCAAATGGGAATAAACATGTTAATGAAACTTTGACGGTTGCTTGCGGCTGGCTGAGTTAATACCGAGAATTATTCTTGGCTGGATTTTTATTTTCATTCAGCTGCGATATATGAATGGTTGCCGATTTACGTTTTATGATTTACTTTCATTTGGAAAGGAACAACGTTTTTCTTATTGTTGTAGGTAAAAGGTAAATGTACAATATTGGCATTAACCTTTCGTTATATTTTCAAGGTATGTAATAGTAGCTTACACTTATGTACTATCATCTCCGATTAGAAAGATTATTCTTGAGAGGGTTCATCAAATTGTTGTAAAATTATGGCCACTTCATAGGGAAATAAATGGATCAGATTGATCAGAAATGCGCATTAATATTTTCCATCAACTAACGCGGAAATCTGCGTTTGGATCCTACTACTTTTTAATGTAACAAAATGACAAAAATAAGAATGTTCCAAGATTGTTTTGCCCTACAGTTTGTTGATAAATATTTGAGTTACACTTTTGAGGATATCCTCTTAAAATTAAATCTCTTAATCAAGAATGACAGCCGCTCACTCACTGAAAGGAAAATCCCTTAATGCACTTCACCATGCAAATCGGTTAAGGAGCAGGCGGGAGGCGATACGAGGGGCTATGAGTTTCCACTAATAAAAATAAATTTCATTTAGCAGCAATTTCCGTTTTTCCTGCTGTTGTGTGTTTGTTTTTAAGAACCTTTATCCCAAAGTTTAGTCCGTAAACCGTAAGGTACGGTATGGTTTTAGCCTTGTCAGCTGCCCCACACCCCGCTCTGCCCTTCACTTATTTTAGTAGCATTAAAACCATCGGGAGAGCGAGAGAGACAGCGAGCCAATGTCTGTGCATAAAAATCGCTTTGTTATTGTTGCATCGAACTGGAGAGCTTCAGAGCTATGGCATCGTCATCGATGACGGCGACGAGCTGTTGTAGTTGTAAACGGTTTATGGGATTTACGCGCAATTTGTTGGCATTTTTCATGGGGGGTTCAGTACAGTACAGTACCCGTTAGGGGGCACACAGGGTTCGTGGGGCATATAAAACAATATGCGGCATTCTCCCCCTCACACCGTCAAAAATCTAAGCCAGGCTCGTTAAATGATTTTCCGTTTGTTCGCTCTCTGGCACTGTCTATGGCATTGTTTTTGGTAGTTGAAACAACAACAGCAGCAACAGCTACATAAAAGAAATGTAAAACGCAGCTTACCTGCAGAGAGCATAAAAAGTAGAAGGAGGAGATATTTCAAGCACAAATATTGATTAAGCTGTAAAAAAAATGTTGGCCATACATATAAAACTCGGTTCAATTGGCTGTACAATCTGATAATTCCCAAAACGAGGGAGGGGAATGGAGGGTTGGGGCGAAGGGTTTCAAATACTGGATGGCAACAATGTTGCAAGCAACAAGTTGACCAAGTACAGCCCCACACACAAGCAGGCAGGATGGAAGGCTGCCATACAGAATGCAGTTTTCATGCACCTCCAGGCACAGACAGAGAGTAGTACCTACGTATATAAATAGAGTACATACCTATGTATCTATAAGTACATAAATACATATGTATATCTGTGTATCTTTATGTGCATGTGCGCATAATTTTGCTAGCCAAGTGAGGCAGAGTGTGGGGCAGCAACAGCGGCAGTTAGTCGAACGGCTCAGGCATGCAACAGGCAATGAATCTCAATCTCGGCTACGTTGTCGCTGGCTCTGGACCTGGACCTGGACCTGGACCCACTAGAAGACCTGGACCCAACAACATTCAGACAGTGGAGGCCACAGAGCCCGAGCCAGTGCCTGTCCAAACCCCCCCCTTGCAGCTCCCTCAGCGCCGTTGACTTTGGCAATTCAAGTGCAACAAGCAAACCCCGCCATGGAGCCGCAGACGACATTCAACTTCAACGTG